CTGACGTTTATCCAGGAAATTTTTCTTCGGATGGCGTGTAAACTTGTTTTACATCGAAAACTTTTTTTTTCCCCGCTATCGCGAAACGAGTTCACCTCACCAAGTGCTAATTACACTTTCCAGGAATGGCATTAAATTTTTTCCTATGCGACTTTTCGAAAAAAAAAAAAAAAAAAAAAAAACCAAGTTTGCAGTAATTCTCGGAAATAACAATTTTGATGCGCGCCCAGGTGTACCTGACGTGCACGTTTTAATCCATCAAAATTAAATTACCCACCCACACTCACACGCTATTCCAAAGCTCGCAAAATATTAAATTCTACAGCATCCGCTCACGCGGCCGACAAACTCGAATAATTTTCCATCGGCATAGGCGCGCTTATTAATCGCACGTTATGGTAATGACGACGAGCGTTCGTTGTTGTCCTTATCTAATAGATTTCGCACCAGTGAAAGCATTGCAGATGGAGAAAGAAAAACCAAACAGCCGTCAAACTTGATTTTCAGCGTCAAGAGCTAAAACCAAACGCATCCTTTTTTTTTTTTATCTCTCGTTATCACTGGTAAAAATACCAGGCGAGGCCATCCATTCGTGATTCATTTTTCGTGCATCAACCAAGTCGTAAACGCTTTTATCTACCAGAGAGCGTTGAGTTTACGAGCTGCACATCTCCGTTCATTTGTACGCGCGTACGTGAAACTGGTGACGCGTGGGTGTACTGTGCGCGAGAAGGTACAATCTTTTTTTTTCTTTTTTTTTTTTTTGTTTTACTCTCTTAGAGAAGCATCTTGATTAGAAGTACTTTTTACGAGGACTTTAATTGCCAGATGCCTGTCTGTCTTTTCTGCGCTGTTTTTTTTCTTCCTTTTTCGTCCAAGTAGCGACACGTCGACGAGTCTTGATTGGAGATTTTTTTTTCACGTACAGGTTCAGCTTTTTCCCTTTTCTTCGGATCCAGAACGGCTTTCGTTTCGCACCTCACTGCATTAATTTACAAAATTGAGTGATTGTAAAACCAAACGATCATAACTTCGATTAGTTAATACTTTTTGATGATGAAAGGAACGTAATCGTGTGCAATTATCCTCAAGAATATTGCAAAAAAAAAAAAGGAAGCTGACCCGAGCGTGCCTTGAACAGAGCGAGTCCGTGAAAATCGAGTTGATGAAAAAAAGCCCAGCTGTATATGTACGACTCGGTGGAAAAGATCCGGGCTTGAAGTGGAGAGGAAAAAAAGGCAGCATCGCCGCGATAGGGGAAGCCTCGACCTCAAAGGATCAAAAAACGCTCGGCAGAAAGGGTGGGTGGGGGTGGGAGTGAGAAGAGAGGGAGCCGAGCTCTTTGGCCTCGCGAGCGAGCCGTATTTGGGACAGACTAACAACCCCACGACCCCCCGACCAAGCTATCCATCAGCTTTAAAAATAGCCCTCCACCGCCGCACACAGCCCCGCGTTTTCATCAGGGGGTAAGAGGACGCTTCGCCCTCTACCGCCACGGGATATAAAACGGCTGTTTACATCTCGATGCGGATTTTCTCTTTTTTTTTTCTCCTCTGTGCTGCCCGACCTCTTTTCCATCAGCTCCACTGACGAGAGTGCTCAGCGATGCGCGTTTCATTGGCACTATAAATTACCAGAGTACGCGCACAGAACGGAGCGATGAATTTTAATTTTGACGCGCGAAGCTGTGACTTGCCACCCCCATCCAATTAAAAAAGCACGGGGACCGTTTCTACTTCGGGGGGAGGTGCGGCTCTACCGGACGGATCGAGAGGTGGTTGATATGCTTTTTTTTTTCTTCCACCCAATGGTAAAAAAAAAGGGGGGGAGCAGAGGTTTTATGCCCTTTCAACAGCTGATGAATAAATAAATGGCGCCACGAGAGGGCTTTTCGCGAGAATGAAGCGTCCGGCCGTACTCGGGCTGTTATACTTACACACGCTCGGGCGAATGTTGTCTTTTTTACGAGGCACGGCTCGTTTCGCGGGACTTTTATTTTCACGAGATTGGCTGGTGCAAGGAAATTACATTACGTCCGACTGTATCCGGTTACTACTACTGAAATAAGTATCGTTTTTCGATCACTCCCCCCTTTTACCGATAAATCCGATCTTCGCTTGGTTTCATCGATTTGAAATTGAAGTGTATACGGAGTCTCAGAGAAGAAACGTTTCATCCGCTGAGTTGTCCATGCAATTGTGACAGATGAAACATCATCTTACTGGAAGTAAATTAATACGCACACTCTTCTATGAAAAAAAAAAAAAAATTTACCTTCCGAAGAAGCAAACGCCGGTAACTTGATATATACTAACCTGGCAGGAGGTCAAAACGCGTTAGTCAAAACGCGGATCAATTCGCTTGGAGGAAGCTCGGATATGATTTGCGAGTTAGGGGGGGGGGGGGGCTACTTAAAAGAGGCGCAGGCACGGGCTTAGGGAGCAGCGAGGCAAAAATGCAAAGTTCCAGCGAGCGTGAGGTTGGAGGTGATGAAAAGCAGGGCAGGTGGAAAAGACTGCGACCACAGTAAGTTAAGGGTAGGGGGTCAACTCAAACCCAAGTTTCTCAAAGGGAGCGAGTTGGATTTTACACACGGGACTCTCCTGGCCAATTGGTTTTCTCCACATTGTAGCCGTTCGGGATTTCCGGGCTTTAATTGACAGGGTTTGGCGACGGCTGTTGGTGCAGATGAAGGGGGAGCGAGCGGGGAAGGAAAAATTTACGCCAACCTTGGAGACAGCTTCGCCTCTACGGGTGCTTCGTTGAGATTTTTTTTTTTTTTCTTTTCATCCATCTTTCGCTCTCTCAGAAGCGAGGCCTTGCGTGTACTCTCGAACGATTTACGATCGCTCTACTCGAGCTGGATCAACTTTTTTTTTTTTTTTTTTTTTTTTTATTTAGTTTTAAAAAGAAGCGGAAAATTTACGGGGCACCGGTGCTCCACGCCTTTTGTTACACATCTCGTGGCTGCGCGCACACACCCATGTATGTACATATACACCTATTGAATTGATTCTTTTTGCTGGGTTTTTGCTTCGTTAATGGAGCACCGGACAATAATCGAAAATTTTCGAAAAATATACTCATCCCTATGCGAGGTAACGACGACAGAAAGGGCATATATGGGCATTCTTCTGTACTTCACCACCTTGTTACATCTCTGACTCCGTATACCAGGACAGTATTTTCCAAGTTACTCTCTTGACAGGACAATCACCGATTCGCTACGCGGGACGAGAGTGTCGACAAGTTGGGATAAAGTTACCTGATTTTGAGCCGTGACCCAACGAAACAACACACCCACGTCGGTGCGCGCGTGGAAATGGAAAGGTGCTATATACTCTCAGTGGCTCGTTTCCCGCGAGCTATTGTTCCTGGCCGTAGTCGTAGTTTTGTCGTCCGCGAAACTTGTGATAGACGAGCGCGTGTATAGTTACCTCCCAGGGCTCGCGTGTTTTCGAATCCCGTTGATGCGATCGGGGATGGCCATGACTGCTCCATCAGGATTAACTCTGATGCCAGAGTACGACCATGGAAGTAATATCGGGGGGTGGAAACAGTCAACGGAGAAGATGATCCATCAGACGCGGAAGGTCTTTTTGGACGGAGGCGAGAATTCGAGGTTGTCGAGAGGAACGAGACCCCGTTCTTCCTTCCTTACCCCACCGTTACCGCGGAAATAATCCTCGCATTACCCCCACTCTCCGCTCCTCAGTCCATCAAAGAATTTATTTTATTAAACCTAAAATTACTCACTGGTGCACCCACACGATTATGCGGTTCTCTTCTCTCGTCCGACCACCACTCGACTCTCAATTCTTTGGTTCCCTTTTTTCCGACTACCTGCAAGAAAAAAAAAAAAAAAAAAAAAAAAAAAAAAAAAAACGCACAAAGCTCCACGTATAACCAAAAGGCACGAGCATCGCGGCAGTTACAAGAGCCAGCCGAGCTTTGGTCCACTGTAGTAACGAGCAACTCCACCGAGAGAGCCACGAGGGGAAATAATTGGGTCAGCGCGCGGATGATTACTGACCAAGCGCAGCTCCCCTTTTTGCGGGAACCAGCCGTGGGAAAATTATTGCGGAGCCCTCTTAACGTGACGAATGGGCTTTTGATGGTCTACACTGCAGGGAGCTTTATTTCTTTGAGCATATATTTTTCATTTGGCTTTACCACCCTTTGGAAGGGAGGTTCCTCATATGCAAGCTTATTGGTCAATAGCTCTGAAATGTGAACTTGCCGCGTAGAGGTCACTTTACGAAAAGCCCACTGGATGCCAAGATCACGGAGAGTCCGCTGGAAAGCTCGCGAGTTGAGGATGAGCGGGATCGAAAACACATTCAAGCTCTTACTGAGGCATCGGCGGGAGATTCCGTAATAAATTTCTTCCGCCTCCCCAGCCACGAACTCTCGCCCCCTTTTTTCTCGGGGGTTGTATACACCTGACGGCGCGCCGGTTTGATCGTGCGTCGCTACTGTGGGTACGCGCTGCCAAACTCGGAGCTCTTTTTATGGCTGGTACGCGGCTTCTCCTTCGCTTGCTTACTTCTTGATGAAGCGTGAATCACGGGAGAAGGCCGCGACTTTTTGCCCTTTGAGGCGGACTGGTATGGGAAAAAAAAGAAAAAAAACATTCGGCTCGAGGTCAAAAGCTTTACGCATATCGGCTCGGGAGCCAGCGACGGGTAAACAAAACGAGGCGAGAGCTCGTGCTTTTCTTTCGGTCGGGCTGCGTGTCTTTTGTCGGTGAATCTTACTTTCAGCAGTAAGGTGCCCTTGAAGAAACAAATACAAGTGCATGCGCTGCCAAAGTACGAAAATCCAGCGAGAAAACCCGGCCCAAGTGTTGGTCGTAGTTTTTGGCCCATCTCAAAAAATCATTGGCGAGAAATTGTAATCCTTTAAACCGACAATTTTGCCTTTTGTAATTATAACGCCTGTCTTCATTATTGTGAACATATATGGATTAAAAAAAGGGGGTAAAAGATGTCGTGACTGACCACTCGTGGCGACCCGGCAGGGTACAGTTGGCGCGGGCGGTACCGAGCCCGCGATGCTGTACAAGGTCTGTCCGCTGCCATACCTGATGGCCGCGGCACTGCTGCCAGCGCTCGGGCCACCCGAGGCGCTGCAGTGGTAGGGCGTAGTCGGTGTCACGGCGAGATCCTCGGAGCCGCGGGCGATCACCGATATCTCGTCGAGCTCGTGGCCGCTGTCGCAGTGGAAGAGCCGGGTCGCGCTCGTGCTGGCCACCGCGCCGCCGCAGCCCTCGCTCGTCCGGGAGTCCGATCGCGCCGAGCCGCTCCTACCGCCACCTCCGCAACCCGAGCTGCTGCTGCTGCGGCCACGTAGCGACTGCACCAGCCGCTTGGCGCTCGAGGACATTCCACGCAGCTGGTCCAGCCTTGACTCCCCAGCCCTTTGTTACAGATGCCACCGCTGCTTCGAGCGATGATCGTCGTGGTCCGTTTATGGCCGCCGATTCTCTGGAATTAGAGATTTTACTTTATTTCCCAGTGACGGTGCTCGAGCGAGCGGTGGATCGATTTTTCTCTCCACGTACGTTATGCATGCTTTTACAACAAACTGTACTCGTGTGCCTCGGTTCCATCTGATTTATATGTACTTTGCACATTTGACAGCGTTAATAATCTAAACAATGCTTATTTCAATTGAAATTTCGATTTTTTCGAAAACAAGGGGAAACGGTCAATATTAAGTCAGCCCAAACAATCTTTAATTTAAATACAATTTGCCTTGTTACGAATAAACAAAATATATGCAGTTGTAATGGTCAATTCAGATGCGTCAGGCATTCGTTTTTATGGCAACATCATCAGACTCCTACATATTCGCCAGGGAAAGATTAATTCAGAGATTTAGCAGTGGAGTATTTTAAAATATTTCATACAAGATTTAGTAGAAACAGTCAATATACGTTAGGACATTAGTTTTTTAAGACTTGTTTTGGATTCCAAAATACATGAGATAAGTTTGCCATATGATGTACAACTTGACAAAATATACAGTATTTTGTTTAAGAATCAGTAGAAATGGTCAATATATAATCAGACGTTCATTTTTCAAGATTTTTGTTCATTTGAAAAATATCTTGGATAATTAAGTTACCAAATATAACGAAATGGAAAGCTACCAGATTATAAAGTATTTGTATTAAGATTTAGTAGAAATAGTCAATGTAAAGTCAGACATTCATTTTTCGAGATGAGTATCAGATTCTCAGATATCTTTGATAGATAAGTTTCAAACGTATATCACAAGTTAACAGTATTTTACAGAATTATAGAATAATTTGTCAAAAATTTAGTAGACATGGTCAATATTGAGCCAGACTCCAATTTTGTCGGACATTTGATTAAATTTTTCATATTCTAACAAATAAAACTTGATTCGCAGTTTTTATAAGTGTATTTAAAAATTGGTAACCGCTTAGAAAAGAAATTTAAAAAAATACAAATAACTTAACTCTACTATATGTGACACAAATGGGGACGACTCGAATCAACAGACACTGAGGGCAGACAACCAAAACTTTTGGGCGAAAAGGCAGCAACTTGGCTGTAAATGTCCAGTAATACTATGAATTTATACAAGTGGAAAAGATAAGCTTTGATCCGTACACGAGAGTCAATACAAATACTTGCGATGCAAAGTGATCAATCACGTAATGATTTGCGTCGTAAGATCGTATTGCTCCCTTATTCTTGCCAGTCACCTGAATTACCAATACAGAGTAAGACATGAATTTTGTAGACCCTCAGTAAAGTAAATAATGTACATGAAAAAAAAACAAAAAAAAAAAAAAAACCGTTATGTACCGAGGAAAAACAATCCGTCTTTCTGGAACTCATCAAAAATTAACTCTCATCACGTAAGGACATCATGGTGAAAATTAATTTTCCATCTCGAATCACTCAACGAAACGATCTCAACGGAACACTATTAGCAAGTACAAATAGGGAAAGAGGGAAAGACAACTTGGTGCCCTACTTTTCCAACCGTACATCTTCATTTCGGCACCCACTTGAGGATCCAGCCGCCCTCCCTCGAGACATCACCCATCAATCTGTCACCTCCTGCACCTGACGTGCCTTGCTGAACAAAAAAAGATGAAGAAAAACCCAGCCCCTCCCCCAACTCTGTGGGCGAGAATTTGACAAGCCCGCGCACGCACCCCCAGTGGCTTTCACCGAAAAAAAGAGCAAAAGAGAAATAGAAAGAAAAACAACTAACCTCGCGCGATCCTCACGGCGCGCCCCTTCTCGCCCCTCCTTCTCCACGCTGGGGTGTGCGCGTACCCCCACCTCCTCTTCTTCTTTTTCTTCTTCCTAGTCGTAATCGTCGTCTTGGCCGTGGCGGCGCGCGCCCGAGGATGACAGAGCCGCGGCAAGGAGCCTCGGCAGCTTCGTCACCGCCGGCAACCCTGCTTCAGTTGCAGTCGCGTCCTCCTCATGTCGCCCTGTCCCGTATCCTTCGCGCCGCGTCTCTATCGGCCGTCCTCCTCCATCTCGAGCTCCCAAAGACCGGCTGGTTCCACATGGCTAGCCCCCCCCTCTGTCCTGCCACTTTCACCCCTGACCACTACATTTTCCAAACCCGAGGCGCTCGGACTACTTCGTGTGCAACAGGTACCCCTCCTCCTCCTTCTCGTTTCCTTGCCGTTCTTCTTTCGGTCCTGGATACGATCGATTGGCTCTCGAGAGGACCTGAAAGCAGAAGAGAAACCGAATGTCCTGGTGATTTGGATGTGCATGACTGCAAATTGTTATTCGCTTAGGTTTGGATTGATCGGTGTTTTGGGGTGAGACGGACAAAGGAGGGGTGGAATTTTTGAGATCGGATCAATGGGCGTCTTTTAATTTTGCCTTTCCCACGATAAATTGGCCTTACCGAACGACACCGATTGATGCATCGCTCGGCCCGCTTGTCGTTAATTATTCATCGCATTAGCCGCACTTTGCATCGATGGGGCGATTAATCATTACAAAATCGAAAACAAACCGGCCCGATCCCCCACGATTAAAGTCTCAGCGCGCCAACATCCATCAATTCCACCCTCCCCCCTTCACCCACCCTTTCTTTTGCGCGCCAGTTTCTGTACGTCTGTCTGCACCTATACACGCGCTCCCATGAATCTTTCACTACGTTTCATCCCGCTCGTATATATACGTTGTACACTCGCGAGTGGGAAACATCAGAGAGCCAGAGTACATGGTGCACTCTGCGTGTATATTTTACGAGTGATGGGGCAAATAAGAGCTGAAAATAATACCTCAAGCCAATTGGACGCGGCAGCTCCGACGAATGAGCCCTCCCTCACCCCCTGCCATCTTGTCCCTCGTGACGTTACACGCGAGGAATGCACGTAATCTCGCGATTTCTTCTATTTTTCTTCTTCGTAAACAAGCGCGCGCGCGCGCACGGACTCTGTGCTCCCCGGCACGTTTATTGATCTCCCTTCTATACACTCGCTTTTTATTTCCACCCCGTGTTTCGTCAAGCTCGTGGCTTCATCTGTAGTACACATATATGCAGGTCACCCGTTGTCTTGTTGACATTTTTCTAACGTGTAGGTACTTCCGTTATGGGCTTCACTTTGTTGAATTGCCTCTGCTGATGAAGGAGTAAAAAGGTATTTTATAAAAATAGATGAGCCATTATCTGCAAAAAAAAAAAAAAAAAAAAAAAAGACAATCGGCAAGCGTTACAACGAAAGTAGCGAGTCGAAGCCACAGACGAAGCGAGTGAGCATCTCCAGATAATGGATCCCCGATTGAAACTGGAGGGAGAACAGCCCGATTTGAAACTTTATTTGTCAAATCCTCTCGCACGCACATAAGCATGTATTGTAGGAGCGCGTGGGAATCACATTGGGCCTTCTGATGTATAGGCACTGTTCATTTCACGCCTCGGTCTCCTCGGCTCTCGCTGGTGCTTTCATCCACAACGATTCACGGTCTCACAGGTGCAGGGAGTCGAATTTTTCGATGCCGATTTTTTTGCCCCGACACAGACGTGGTAGGAATCAGTAGAGATGATGAAACCTTTTTTTTTTCTTTTTTTTTTTTTACAGGCAAGAAAACACCTCGTAGAGTTTTTGAGAAACGCTTCGACTGCGAGCGAAGAAATCGAAGGGGGGAGAAAAGAAATGCTTCCCTTCCGCTTTATTTTTCCTTCGCTCGGTGTAATTTTTTACCGGTTCGTTGGGCAGCTTGTAATCCTGCAATTGAATAATTTTCGCGGACACGAGCCGAAACTTGGTTTTCCCTCAAAAATGTCTTCAGTGGGGCTCAGCTTACTTGGGGAAAAGAAGAAAAGATGTTTATCAAACAGTGAGAAGCGACGATCCCATACATTCCAAATCACACCCACCAGTGGCCGGCTGCCACAACTCTTGGATCGCGGCACTTTGTCCGACGCTCGTTCCCGATAACCCTGCTCTATCCGCAAAAGCAAATAAAACCCAAACGGATGTCGAATAAAAGTCACGAATGGACAAAACCAGCATCCAAACCGTACACGGGAATATCGGACCCTCGCTCCCACGAGGTGGCTCGATAAAAAACAGGCATCGGCCCTCGGTCGCGTTATAACGTACTTATATACACATACGCGTACGCAGCAGCTGTACTGCTCGCCTCCACTCCTACCACCCCGTAAAGCTTAAGAAGAAAAAAAAACAGATAGAGAGAGAGAGAGAAAAGACAGCCAGAAACGCGGACCTCGGCCTTGTCGCCCGACTTTGCGGGTCCCACCCCCTCCTGCTGCTGCGCGGCGAAAAAGTTGCCATGACGACGGCGATAGTCTGCTGCGCCGCAGTGCTCGCTCTCTATTTCCATGGATCTGCAAAGGCTAGCTACGGGAGAGCGGAAAAACGCGCCTACATTTACAGTCATTGCTCGCATCCACGTAAATCTATTTTTATCTATGGTTATATACAGCTCGCATATATGCGCTATACGTATATGAATCAAGTTGGTCTGTTCGAGATGGTGACGCTATAGGGATGGGACAATTAAGCAGGACAGGCAGCCAACTGTACGCCCTGGGCATGATCCATCCGTCGGCGACACGCCTTGACCTCTCGCACCGCTCCGGGGCATCCTCCGCATCCCCCGACTTCCCAAAACCTGCGAGCTGCTGTTACATCCACGAAGCCGCAACAGCAAGGGAGAAAAAATCAGTGAGAGCGTGCGCTTCTTTTCAGCGCTATAACGTCTCCTTTCGCTCCCCATCGATTTCTTCCTCTATCCCCCTCCCCCCTCTTTGCACTGATGACCACTTTCTCTCTCGTTTTTTCCCTTACTCGACAACACACTGTAACGCGTCGTTGTGGTTTATTCAATCGGTGGGTTCCCCTTTGGGACGCGATTTATAC